CAGATCAATGATCAAGGGACAAATGTCATTTGGCCCAATAAAAGTCACAGTCCCAAGACAAGCATGGCATAAATATCTATAATCCCGACCCAGGAGGTAAGGCAAGAGAGTTTGAGTTCCAGGACTGTCTGGACTACAAAGCAAAATCCTATCTCAAAAATAATTATTGAAAGTCACAACTCCTTGCTTGGTTTCTGAGCCATGATCAGTTTTTAAGCCTGGATCACTGTTGACTGAAGAGGAATGTTCCCAGAAGGGAAGACGGTACATGAGTTTGGAAAGTAGACACAATAATGAGTACCCCTATCTGCCAAGAAGACCTGTGTTTATTTATGAAGGTAACTCTGCACTGGTTAAAGGTACACAATTATTCAAGGATTATTAGGCACAGGGATTAAATTTAGAATGATACCTGGAATCATATGACTCTTGTGTTAAGCTGTTAAGTGGTCATTAACATTATCTTTGAAAGTGTAATCAGAATAGTCAAACATGGACTGTGGGGTGAAAACGATCATATGCAACAAGAACTTAGTCATACTTAAGGCCTATTGCAGTCACTTTACCAGAGGTGGTATCTGCTAGAGCAGATTACTGTGACTTTGACCAAATGACATTACTGATTTTCCCATCCCTATCAAAAAAGAGGTTAGAAAACTCATTTTTATACTTGAAATAGTCGAGAATATACCTTTTCAGTTTGTGTCCTGGCTGCGATAACCCTCCTGTCTCTATCACAAAGATATCTGTCTAAAGATATATTGACAAACTGGATATTTGTAGAATATCACCATATATTAAAGGCATCATGTTAATTCTACTGAATGGTCAGGAAATGGTTAGCCTGATGATGCTCCAATGTACAGAAGATAAATAGTCCAAGATTTGCCACAGTGACAAGTTTTTCAGAGGTTCAAAGTTCAGTAAATACTAGGATATCCACTGAAACTAAAGTCAAATAATTGCCACCTGCACATCCTACTACAGAGGAGGAAACAGAGCACCACGTAGATCTTTTCCAGTTCTAGAGGCAGAATAATCTATACTTGGGAATATTGTTCCAACTCCTGCACCAGGAGACACAGAACGTTAACAGGTTTGAGTGTCACTCACATTTGGAAAGGGATGTTCAGCAGATCTAGGTCAGTCTATGGTACAATCATTGCTGATGCTTGGCTTTCAGATTGGGTTAGTGTATTGGAGATGTCTATAATAGGGAGAGCTGAGAATTTCAATGAAACATTAATATCATAGAGTATTGAGGTTCCAAAGGAAGGCAACGCATTGCAGCAGATAATTACATACTATTTGAAATACAAATCCTGGGAATTTACTTAGTCCTGACTTTGGGTCTTCAATTGACCATACAGCTAAAATCATTTCTAATGATGTGAATCTGTCAAATGTATCAAGTTGTAAAGCCAGGTAAACAAGAATCCATTATAAAGTGGAGGTAGTACATCTGGAATCAAGCACAGGAAGAATCTAATGGCATGTCTTAAAATGTACAGCAGAGTACTAGAGAGATAGCTCAGTGGTTAAGAGCACTGACTGCTCTTGCAGAGGACCCAGGTTCAATTCCTGGCACCCACATGTTAGCTAACAACTGTCTGTAACTCCAATACCAGGAAATTCAACACCTTCTTCTGCCCTCTGTGGACACTGCACAACATAGGTGCACTTACATACATGCAGGCAATATATTCATTCACATAAAATAAAGGTAAAATATTTTTTAAATGCACAGCAGAAAGGTCAATCCCTGCTTATGCTCAGGTGCTGCTGCTTGAGTACCTTTCCCCTAGCTCCCACATGTGGTTTATCTACTCTAACTCACTGGCATGACATGGAAAAGCCTCAGCATGATTCACATATGGGCATTTTTGCTGTGTGTGTACAAGATAAAGTGAATGGAGGCTGCCTTAAACCCAGTCAGGATGATCTCAAAAGATAATAATAAAAGGAAACCTTCCTGATAGGACCTTTCCATGACATTTTATACCCATGATTTCAAATATGCAAAGCAAAGAAACAATATCAAATAATATCAGAAGATGGAAGGGGAAAATGCCAACACAGCTGTAAAGAAAGAAACATCAGAATAGCATCAAATTTTTACTCAGCAGGCCTAAACACTAAAAAAGCATGGAATGATGCACTTCAAGCCCTGAAACAAACATCTAACAACCAAAATTGTTATAACTAGTAAAACTGTTGTCTTAGTTTTGTCTCCTGCTGCTAAAATAAAATAGTCTAACAAAAGTAACTTAAGGAAGAAAGGGTTTATTTTAGCCACAATCCCAGGTTACCCTCCATCATTGCAGGGAAGTCACAGCAGCAGGAACCTGAGACAACTAATCACATTACATCCATAATCAAGGAGCTGAAAGAAATGAATGCACATATGCTTGCTCAGCTCATTCTCTTCTTTTCAGGAATTCAGAGCCCAGCCCGTAAAACGGTGCTGCCCACATCCAGGATGGATCTTCCAACCTCAATTGATATAATCAAGATAATCCCCCACAGGCCTGAACACAGCCCAGTCTGACCTAGACAATCCCTCATGGAGATTGTAGCTCTAGGCTGTGTCACATTGACAATTAGCGCTAATTGTCACAACTCCACCCCTTGTCAACTTATCAAGCAAACACATCACTTTCAGCCATATCCTTCTACCCCTTGTCCCCAAGGTACAATGTTTATCCCCTAACGTAAAATGTAGTCCAACTTTAAGATCCAAAGTCCCTTAACTGTGAACTCCTACAAGATAAAAAAAAAAAAAGTTATATACTTCTAGTATATAATGACATAAAGTAAACACTCATTTCAAATGGAAGAACCTGGACATAAAACGATCACAGCAAAAGAAAATCAGAATCCTGCAGGGCAAACATCATCTCGCAAAGCTTCATGTCCAGCGTCTTAGGCTTGTTATATAATCATCTGAGCACCAAAGGACTTGGATAGTCACATTTCTCCACTTCTGCCATCTCAGAACATACAGAGTTTTCCTCAGACAGGTGACACTCCATGCCTACAGCTCTCCTTGGTGAATGTACCATGGTCCCAGCATCTCCAATATCCTAGGTCTCCATTACAGCTAAGGCTTCTCTTTCAGGGCTTCATACAATGGCCTCACAGGGCATCTTTACAGGGAATCTGATTCTGCTACATGGTGTCTGACTTCAGCTACTCTCCATGGATCCCCAAGTCTTGCATCTTTCATGCCTTCAAACCATGACAATACTTAACAACACTGTAAAATTATGCTGCCAGCTTGAGACATACTGTGGCCTTCTTGGACTATCACTGTATCAGCTACTATATGCTGACTCTGAGGAAATACTTTCTATTGTCCCTACACAGAACAAGAGGTTTCTCTACAATGGTGTTGATCTTTCTATCAATCACAGCTGCTTCTTTGGCACTAGCCTAAATACCATCCTGCCTTGAAATTTCATTTGCCAAACAAATCAGCTATTACCTTTAAATTCAACTTTATTAAGGTTCTCAGGATATTGGCATATTGAAGTAAAATTATTAACCAAAATATCACAAAAATGGTCACAAGCCCAGGTCTTGATAGTTCTTGTTTCCCTCTAAAACCTTATGAGTTTTACCTCTGCTTTCCACATTTTTCTCAGCATTGTTATCTTCCAAGCTCCAATTAGAATGGCCTGTTAAACTGTTTACAGCATTCAATGGATTTTTCTAACCTGATACACCAAACTCTTCCACATTCCAGCCACAAAATATTTCCAAAGTTAAAAGCCACATGGTTAGATGCATTATAACAATGGGCCCACTTCTTGGAACCAACTTCTTTATTTCATGTCACTGTGATAAAATACCCTGACAAAAACAACTTAGTCCACTAAGAATAGATTCATTAGTTCACAATTCCAGGTTACAGTCTGTCACTACTGACAAGTCAAGGTAGCAGGAGCTTGAAACACCTAGTTACATTACATCTATAGTCAAGACACAGAGAGGAATGAATGCATGCATGCTCAGTTCATTCTCTGCCTTTCATCAGTCTAGGGCTCAGCCCATGAAATAGTGCCACCCATACAAGGTGGGTCTTCTTACCTCAGTTACCATGTTTAAGATAGCCCTCCACAGACATGCTCACAGGTCAATGAAATCTAGTTAATCCCTCAATGACGTTCTCTTCTCAGGTGACTCTCGATTTTATCAAGTTGACAACTAAAACTAACCCTCACAGATATCTTTTAAAACAGATAAAGACATTTCAAGTAAGCACAAACTAAGGCAGTCAGGACCACTAAGTCAGTACTCAAGCAGATGCTAAAAGGAATGTTATACAGATGAAGAAGACAGTTTCAATCACAAGAGCACAGGAAAGAATAGATTCTGTGAAAATAGCTGAACAAAGGATCTAGAAAGAAACCCATCATGCCCAACACAGTAAACAAGCAAAATCCTAACACTAATAGAGGAGAAAGTAACGATCAGAGTACAATCATAAAAACAACAAATAAAAATCACAGGAATTGGTAAGCATCTCTTAATAATAACTTTATATGTAATTGTCTTCAAGTCTTCAATAAAAAGACATAGATGAGCTGGCTGAATTTTAAAAACCATATACAAGTATTTGTGATCTCCAAGAAATGATCCTCAGTGGTGGATATACCACTGATGTAGAGTCAAAGGATGGAAGGTAATCTATCAAGAATATGAAAGCAAAAAACAACAGTGTGGCTATTCCTAGATTTCATAAAGTGAACTTCAAACAAAAAATTGTCCAAAGAGATAAAGAAATCACTACATTTTAATAAGGGGAACAATTCAACAAGAAGATATAACAGGGTTTCCTACATATGCCAGCCTTGCCTGGAACTCACTATATTACCCAAACTGGTCCTAAACTCACAATTTTCCTGAATTGGCCTCCTGAAGCAACTTCTCTTAGTAATCTCCATGCCATTGGAATATTAGAAGCCCCCCAAAAAAAACATAGTTCTATCAGCTCTTACTTTGATGACACGATGATATTTGGGGATCCCATGTGCCATCTGATCTGCATGTAGCTGAAAGGATTTGTTTGTCATGACAACTATATGACACTGTGTCTCCATAGAAGTAAATACAACCATTTTCAGGATGATGTTTTCTAGGTTGAAGGATTCTGATATTCTCTAGGTTTGGTATTGGACAACATATCTCTAGAAAACAGAACAAAGGATAATGTAAAATCATCATGAAGTTGTTATGGAAAATGATCTAATTTTTGCAATATTGAATATAAGCTGAGGCAGCAGAAAAGAAAACTTGGAACACTCATTATACTCCCCTATACAATTTCTAAAGAACTCAAACTCAGAAATTTACTCCAAGTAAGCATTTTTTAATTGTTTGAGAATTTCATACATGCATATAATGTGTTTGGATCGGGTTCACTCCCATTCCATCCCCACAAGTCCTCCCCTATCCACCCACCACTATTCCCTCCCAGTTTCCTGTGTTCTTTTTCTAAACCCACTGAATCCATTTAGAGCTACTCATATGTGAATGGGTATAGGGACACATACTGGGGCATGGCCATAGTAGCCTCTCCGGGGTCACAATCCTGAAGAAAATTGGCTATCCCCCTCCCAGGAGCCATCAATTGCCAATAGTTCTGTCTTGTGCAGTGAGTTTGTTTTAAATACAATTAGAAAGTGGTTGGTTACTTCAGCCACTATTGTACTAGTGGGCCTATTTTGCAAGGCTAGTCGTTATTGTAGTTCATAGCTGGGTAAGACCTATTACTTCTCTCCCAGAGTAGCATGCACAGAAACTTTCAGGACTATGAAAGTAAGGATGAAGTTTCCAGGTCAGAACCAGCTTGATTTGTCCATGTTCTACGATTCAAGTACATTGTGTCTTCAGCAATAGGGTCTTACCATCAAGTTCTGGAAGGTGATCAAGAGTAAGCACAATAGCCTGTAATGTTTTGGGGATGTCTTTGGGACCTGGTTAACCAGCAACTCCAAAAGAGGTAACCCATTCCTGACACTGAGCTTTTTTTTTTTTTTTTTTTTTTTTTTACACTTGTGGGCTTGGAAAAAAAAAAAAACCCCCCAATAAAAAAAAACCCCTTTAAAAAATATATATAAAAAAAAAAAAATAAAAACTTTTAAAAAACATTTATACATTTCCCTGTTTTTTTTTTTTTTTTTTGATAGCCTATGGTGTCTGAGAAAGGCAATGTACACCCATTACAGGATAACTCCATTTAAACTATATATGTATATAAATATATATACACATATTTAAGGAAGCTTGTACAGTTTCCATGTGGTTTTTTTCAAAGGTCTTTGGTGTTAGTTATCCTTGTTCATACTCCCTCCTCTACCCTGCCCTCCCACTCTCCACCTCACTCAACCCTTCTTGCTATTATTCCTCATTTCCCCCTCCATCCCAATTGTATTCTATCTCTCTTCCCTTGAAAACTCCTATCATGGTTGACTTTAGCTGTCAACATGACACACTTGGGAAGAGGGAACCTCAACTGGAGAATTTCCTCCATCTTAGTAGTCTTTAGGCATGTCTGTGGAGCATTTTCTTGATTAAATGATGTGGAAAGGTCCATCCCACTGTGAGTGGTGCCACCCCTGGGCAGATAGCCCCGAGTTGTATAAGAAAGCAGGCTGAGCCCAGAGAAGCAAATTAGTAAGGGGCATTCTTCCACAGTCTCTGCTTCAGTTCCTGCCTCCAGGTTGCTGCCTTGAGTTCCTACCCTGTCTTCCCTTAATGATGAACTATGATCAGGACATATAAGTTATTATAGTACTTTCTATTTCCTTTTTTTAACTTCCCAGTCCATGATTACTTAACAGTATGTGTATTAATTCCTGTCATTTGTTGTTTTGTGGTGTTTTCTTAGACCTCTTCTGATTAACTGTTCTGGAATTCTTTATTTCCTATGACTTCTTAAGTATATTTAACCTTCTCTTCAGACTGATGTATTCCTTCCAGTATCCTCTGTAGAATTGGCTTGGTGGTCATAAATTCCTTTAATCTGTTTTTATCATCGAAAGTTTTTCTTTGTCCTTCAATTATGACTGATACATTTGCTGGTATGGTAGTCTGGGCTGGCATCTATCATCTTTCTGAACTTCTTAGAACATTGACCTATGCTCATACACTTTTAAAGACTTTATTGAAAAATCAGCTGTAAATCTGATGGTCCTCCCTTTATAAGTGACTTGACCTTTCTCTCTTGCAGCTTTTAATATATTTTCATTGTTCTGCACATTTAGTATTTTAACTAGGATTTTTTTCTAGTCAAGTTTTTGATGTTCTATATGCCTCTTCTCTTTCACCTTAAAAGACATCTCTTTCCTTAGATTTAGGGAATTTTCTTCTATGATTTTGTTGAAAATATTTTCTGTGTTCTTGGCCTTGGTTTCTTCTCCTTCTACTATACTTTATATTTGTAGGTTTTGTCTTTTTATAGTGTCCCAGAGCTCCTTATATTCTGTTCAGGGTTTCTTTTTTACATTTTATTTTATTGAATGATCCAATTCTCCTAACTTGTGGGAATAGAGGCACAGCAGGAGTGAAGGTGCTGACCCAAAGGAGGTACTCAAGCCAAGTGGGCATTTCTATCAGAAAACTTCAAGTGAGAAGTTGTAAAAATCTTGTGTGAGAATGTAAATTTTCAAGACAATTCAAGAACAGTGATAAATAGCATTTATTTACTTATTGTTTCATTGAGGTTGCACCATGATTAAATTCCACTTACACTTCTCTAGTCACAGGAAGAAGAAAATTTCCAACAGTTTATATCCAGCTAATACATAAAAATAACTTTAAATTATTGCTTATGGCCAGGATTTGTCTTTTTGATGCAAAATTTCAAAGTAATAGCTATTCAAATTCTTTTATTTTTAAAACAATAAGAGCTAATACAGGATATACATCTTCATTCATCGGTAGAAATACTTAAGACACAATTTGATGAGTTCCTGTTTTTAACCTCTAAAATTACAAGTTTTTACTAGATGGGTAGAAGGAAACTTCTCCCTTTCTTGGAAATTTCATTTATGCTCATAAAGTGGTAATTAGCTGCTTTGAGCCCCTTTCTTTCCCACAAATACATAAAGAGATGCCTCTCCCACTAGTGAAAGGAGAGAAGCCCCTTTCTCTATTATTAAGGTTAGTATCTGTCTTCTAGATGCAAGTAACCCTGTTGGGCTGGCAAACTGCCTTATGGCATGTCAGTTTGTAGCTGGTTGAATTTATGACTGACACATCAACATTCCTTTGGCCAGAATCCCCAGATTTCATGTAGGGAAGGAAGGGCTGTGAAGTCTGACTCTGACAAGAGTTGAGCTTTATTTTCTGTCCTAGCTTTGGCAAAAATGAAGATACTTATACCTGCATAGTGTTTGACTTTTATGTCTATTTCTTGTTTGATTCTGAACTGGTCTAGAGAAAGGTTTCAATTTCTTAGCACCTCAAACTTTATGGTCACTTTTGTTTAAAAAAATAGAAATAATGTATTCAAAATTTATTTTGATGAATAAAATTACATTTACTTAAGATATAGAATCTTATCACCTATTAAGACATTTAATATGCATAAATATTTGAAAGCAAAAACTCACTTTTGCATCCTTTAAATGGGCTCCATGTGAAATTCCTCTGACAAGTCACAGTTGTGGGCGCATGTGTAGCAGGTTCATAGCCACGATGACATCTATACCTTAGCACAGTGCCAGCCTGATACACACCCATACCTTCTTTTCCAGACTCTGGAATTTCTACCCATAAGGCATGTGGAATGTCTGGTATGTTAGTGCAACTATCTGTTCATAAAAGACAGAGGAAATGACATTATTAATAGGGCTGTGTGTCGGTTACTTTTCTGTTGCTGTGATAGAACACCATGACCAAGGGAACTTACAGAAAGAAGAGTTTATTTGGGACAAAATGTCTAAATACTTGGAGCCTATGGGGGACATTCTCATTCAAACCATGGAACTGCACCAAGCTGCCACCGCACTCACAGAACCTGTCTCAGCAAAAGATGTCATGTTTTTCAGGTAGGAACTAATCTTTCATGGCTCACACATTAACCACACCAGAAAACACATATGGACCTTTCATGGCTCACACATTAACTACACCAGAAAACATATATGGACATTTGCCCAGCTGTGCCCAGCATCAGAATAGTTCTGACCAAGGTCACTACCAAATAGTTTCTGTGTGCTGCACCTGTACTTGATATTAATTTTCCTCTTTAGTATACTCAGAAAGTTTCATTTCTGAATTTAAGCATTAGATTTACTAAATGAACATGGCAAGAAAACTGTCATAGACAAATAAAACTAACTTTGTATGTTTTCTCACTACGGAGACTAACAAGAGCTGTTCTCCTCATCCAGGAAAACCAGGAACTCTAATACTAAAGGGTTTGCAGGAGCAAAGCACTAAATAAAATATTTTTTAAGCCTGAGATTTGAATCCCATTCACCTCCCTTCCTTTGTGTTGCTTGTTCATATATAATGCATGCATCTACTGAGTTGGATGTTCATTACATTTTATCTCCAAACATTCAAAATTTTCAAAATGAGACACAGAGCAAAATCCTTTAGAAAAGACAGCTCAATGGCTTTTCGTGTATTCATAGAGTTATGCAGTTATACCTACTATCTGATTTCAGAATGTTTTTTCGCTTTAAAAAGAAACCACCTGCATGTTTGCTATCATTGCCAATTCTCACTTTCCCTTAAGTTCTGAAATCTACACACACACACACACACACACACACACACACACACACACAGGGTATAAAAACATATATCTTATCGAGCATTTTAAATAAATGAAATCAGACAATGCATTTTCTATCTTTTGTATGTATAGATTCTTTAACCTGGCATCATATTTAAGGTTATACACTCTACAGCATGTGTCAATACTTCATTTTTTTAAAAAATGTTTTATTTATTATTTTTATTTTATGTGTATGAGAGTATTGCCTGCATGTATGTGAGTGCACCCATGTCTTGCAATGCCGTGGAGGTCAGAAGAGGGCTTTGGACTCCCCTGGAACTGGAGTTAAGGATGGTTCGTAGCCACCATGTGGGTGCTGGGAATCGATTGCAAGAGCAATCAGTGCTCTTAACTGCTAAGCCATCTCTCCAACCCCAATACTTCGTTTTTATTGTGTATGATATTTCATTCTATGGCTATACCGCTTTTATCACTGCAATTCAGTTAATGGATATTTGAGTTGTGGGCGATTATGAACAATGTTGCTCTGAAGTTTCATGTGAAACCCTTTTATATGGGCATTTGTTTCCATTTCTCCTGGGTAAATACCCAGGAAGGTGGTTGCTGGATCATATAACTATATGCTCAAACTTTGGAGGAACAGTAGAAACTAGTTTCTAAAATGGCTGTAATAATATAGATTCTTACCAGCAGTATGTATATGTCTAATTATTACACAAATATTGGTGTCTAGTTTTTTTTCATAATAACCATTCTGATAAGTATGAAGTGGTATATTGTTGCTAAATGACCATCTTAATAAGAAAAAAAAGAGGAAATTCTTCAAGTTGAAAGCACACAGGAAAACAATGATTTCCTAAAAGGTCATAATGCAGATAATTAAAAATTAAAAGGATGACACAGTCATTCCTTGGTATCAATAAGGATTGGTTCCAAGACCCCCCAAAATACCCAAATCCATATATGCTCACGTCTTTAATATGATACAGTGTTTCCATATAATGTAAACACCTTCCCCTGTATACTTAATCATCTCTTGGTTACTTGTATGCCTAATACAATGTCAATGCTATATAAATAATTGTTTCATTATACTGTACAGGGGACACTGACAAGGGAAAGAATCTGTACATGTTCTATACATATACACTATTTTTTTTCAAATATTTTCTATCCACAGTTGACTGAATTTCCAGATGTGGAAACTGGATACAAAGAGTTAACTCCAGCTTATTTCTTCTTTTGTACACAACTGATTTAAGGAGCATGCCATAAAAATACGCAAATAAAAGAACTGTTAAACATATAACATAGAAAGCAATATGTTTGGCATTAACAGTATGAGGTGATAGGTGTAGACAAAACTATATTTGAGAATAAAAACACCAGATGTTAATTCAAATCTGCAAGAAGAAACGAAGAGTCAGGGCTACACTGTATAGCTCAGTGGTAAAGACCTGGGTTTAATAAAAGTAGGGGGAGGAGAGGAAGAGGAACAGAGAGATTATAAACATATTACACTGCTTTTTTCTGTTATCATAAAGATATGAAATATAAATTATACAAAGAAAAAAATTACAGCAATGTATTGTGTGGTTTCCAATAATATAGATGTAAAATGTCTTGCTACATTCTGGGCTGGCATTTTGCTTTATTTGACCCTGTCTCCTCACTGCTATGTAGCCTCCATTGTTTCTAATGAAAACTCACATACTAATTTTATTGCTCTGTTGCTCTTCTCTTGCTGTTTTGAATACGTTCTTGTTATTCTTAGCTTCACATATTTTGACTATGCTATCTCTAGGTCTTGAAAGTTTAAAATTTATCCTTCTTAAGTTCAGTGAGCTTCTCGAATGTATAATGTTTACATCAAGTTTGGGAAATTTTCAATAATTTTTCTTTGAAAATTTTTTTATGTTTCTTCTGCTTTTGAAACTTGTTAACATTCCTCTTACACTGTACCCATTTTCCTCATTTTCTCTTTCCACGCTACAAATTGTATACTATCTATCTTTAAATTCACTGATTCTTCCTTCATCCAACTCCAATTTGTTAATGAGCTCCTCTTGCAAAATTTCCATTTACTTACTATGCTTTCAATTCCAAAACTTTCATTTCATTTTTCAAATAATTTCTATCTTTACTGATATGACACCTATATGTGTCATAATACTTTCCTTTGATTATTTAACCATTGCTTCCTTTAGTTGTTAAATCTATTTATAGTAGCTACTTTAGGCATCTTTTCTGCTAAGTGAGTCTCTGGGCCCAATCAAAGGCAGTTCCTATTGTTACCTTTCCCTGTTTGTTTTTTCCTGTCTGCTCATCACTTGCTGAAACAAGACATGTAAAATAATAGCAATTTTGAATCAGATTTTTCCCTCATTGCCTTCAAGACTTGTTATTTCTTTGTTTATTTGTGTAGTGTTTTGATTGGAGTAGTTCAGTTAACACTAGTTCCCCCAAGCACAGAACATTTAATGACATCTGAGAAGGCAGAGCCTTTCACACAGTCTCCTTAACCCGCCAATGACTGCACCTTTTCTCTTTAATTCTCATCAAGCTTTTGGCTAATCTCTCTCTGTAGTAGTATATGCGATGGCTAGCCCTCTGTAATTATTAACTGATTGTGCCAGTGTTGCTGTCATTGTTTTTAAACAATTTCCTGGGGCATATATTTCTTCATAGTAAGGTTCAGCTAAAGTCAGGCCACTTGTCTGGTAGAAGGTGTTAAGTCTCTGAATCTTGTTCTAAATTTCCTCTAGAAGAATCTTCTGGTTTATTTTTTTTGCTGATTTTTATTTTCATTGGGTATATTCACTATACATGGTACTGGGATACATAAGGACATTTTTGTGTAAGTATATAGTATACATATCCCCCCATATCCCCAGCTCCCTTTTCACACACCTACTCTTCTCCTTAGTCCATTTTGTACCCCTACATAGTTTCACATCTACTTTCATGCCATGCATACATACATGATTTTATACATCCATATATAATCTAGAAACCACAAATGAGAAAAGACATGATGTTTGTCTTTCTGAGACTAGTTTACTTTGCTTAATATGGTTATCTTGTACTATAGATCAGGAGCTGAGGAATATAAGAGAATTCACCCACCAGAATCCTTTCTTTTAGGTGCAGGGGCTGTGAAACGGGAAAAGTGGTGTATTAGGACCTAGTACTGCATCTGGCTCGACCCATCACTAAGTATACATATTTGATAGCCCAGAATAAACAGAATAAAACCTACCAATATTCACTGGGGTTTTTTTAGTCTATCTACAATTGTTCTCCCATTCTAGAAAATGGGAGATGCCACTTTGCTGGCCAACTTTCTAGAGCATTTATCTTCTCAGATAGACCTGTTCAGAAAAAGGGAATATAGTTGCTTCAGTTGCCCCACCTGGCTCTCCTCCCTAATAATGGAAGGTAGGTGGAAGAAAAGACCTGATGTCTAGCTGCTGACATCTCTTGATATAAGCCTTTTCCAGCATGGAACTTTGGAAAATTCACAAATGTTCAATAATCGAAAACTTTACAATGTTCAGTAACAATCCATCTCAAGATACTTGTTTGCCCCAGGACAGATGGGAACTGAAACTTGTGAGTTCACAGAAACAGTTGTCTATCAAGGTAGTGTTGTTAGTAGTTCAAATGCCTCTCAGTATTTGTAGCAAGAATCCATAGATTTACTGTATAAATGCTTCTCAATAATTCCTCTGATTAATTGCCAAGAGACTGTTTCTTTACAAATTATGGCCAGCTTAATAGATACCACTCCAAAAGAGAGATTTGCCAGTTCCTCACACAACTGTTCCAGAAACTGTCAAGAAAGGCTCTTAATGTTTCATGAGTCAAAACTAAGAGCTCAAAGCACCAGTGACCTCCTCCTCTTTAGCAGCAGTATGATTTGGGGACAGTCACTTCACTTTTTACAAAAGTTCCCTCACCTGTAAAATTAGGGTAATAATACTTTCCACAATTGTTAGGAAGATTGACTTAATTTTTGTTACGAACAAGACTAGTTCCAACTTAATATTATTACTTTTATCACCATTTTATCATCCACGTGAGAGTGTCTAGTCCATATAATACTTTTGTACAAATTACTTATGCTTTTGTACAATTTACCTATATTTCAAAATAATTTTGTTATAATAAGTCTATCAACTGCCAAAAATTAATGAGATAAAAATACTAATCTAACCATGTCTACAATATCAATGCCTCTCCTTATGACTAGAGTGTGGACAACCATGTATAATAGACACAAAGTGTGCTAAAGCTATTCTTCTTTCCAAGAAAATAAGATAAAATTATTTAAATTTAAAGTTTTGTGAGTTAAGAATCTAGATATGCAAGTACATCCATATCAATATTTCTGAGTCTCTTTAGGTGCCAAACATTGAAATCCCTTCATGGTCCATACTTACTGCGCTCACAAATGGGAAGAGAAGGACTCCAGTTGTTTCCAGCTTCACAATGGATTAAACTGCTGCCTCTGAGGATAAAACCTTTCTGGCAGGCAAACAAAACACTGTCTTTGTAGTTATAAGTACGTCGAAATCCAGAGACAATTTTTCCATTTGGAATATCTGGCCAAGGACATGTGATTCCTAAAGAAGCATGCAAAAAGACAAATGGGCATAGGGAGATGGCTCAGTGGGCAAAGTAACTTGCCACACATACATGAATTCTGAATTCTACTGCCACATAACCTGAATTCTAATCCCTAGAACCCACATAAAGCCAGGCATAGTAGCACACATCTGTAATTCCAGTTCTCCTATGGTGAGCCAGGAGACTCCCCTGAAGTTTGAAGGGCAGCTGGCCTGGCAAATGCAGCATAACAGCAAACAACAAAAAGACCTTGCCTCAGGAGGCCTCAACATTAGTCAAGGAACTATTGGCAGCTGATCACTGCTGGGTGAGGGAAAGTTGGTCTTCTTTACTGGAGTGATAATAGATAGGCTGACCAGGCTCCAGTGGATGAATTCATACTGAGGGATATCTGGGTACATAAACTTGACTCTATAGGCCTTAACATATATGACAGAGTGCATTACATCCAGTAGGTGGACTATGGAGTATGCAGATGGGGGAGGAGATCTAAATATGATTAAGATGTATTGTATAAAATGCACAAAAATTTCAATAGAAACATATATTTGAAAAAAGACCCTGCCTCAAATAAGGTGGAAATCAAGGGCCAAAATCCAAGGTTATCCTCTGGCCTCTACACACATGCTGTGGCACTGGCAAACCTACACACACACACACACACACACACACACACACACACACCATACAGACAGACATACAGACACACACATAACACACACACACAAAGATAAATGAAAGACTGGGAATATAGTTCAGAGGTAATGTGCCTGCCAAGCATAGATGAGGCCCTGAGTATCACAAAACAAGTATCTTGGTGAATTAATAGATAAATGATAACATAAATATTATTGAAAATTTTGGCTAAAAGTTTGTCAATATTGTTAATTTTTCAAAGAACTAATTTGTGCTGCATAGTTTGACACACTTGGAAAGAAGGAACCTCAATGGGAAATTTCCTCTATCAGATTGGCCTGTGGCCATGTGTGTGGAACATTTTCTTGATTGTTGAATGATGTGGGAGGGCCCAGCCCACTGTGGGTGGTGCCCTGGGTTGTATAAGAAAGCAGGCTGAGCACAGGCCAGAAGAGCAAACCAGTAAGCAGTGTTCCTCCATGGTCTGTGCTTCAGCTCCTGCTCCAGGTTCCTGCTTGAGCTCCTGCCCTGGCTTTTCTTGATGAACTGTACTATGAGATTGCCCCATTTTATTTTGATGTAGACATTTAGTGATGTAAACTTTCAACTTAGGACTGCCTTCATTATGTCCCATGGATTTTGGTATGTTATATTTTCATTGCATCTAGTTCTAGGAATTCCATAATTGATAAAATCAAAGATGAAAAGGGAAATTACAACAGATATGGAAGAAATTCAGAGACTCATAAGGACATATTTTAAAGACCTATATTCCATTAAAGTGGAAAATATAGGACATCTATAATGCAACCCCCATACCTAAGGCTCAGGGAATTGCAGAAGAGAGAGTAGAAAGATTGAAAGAGCCAGATGCCTAGGAGAACTGCTACAAAGTGTCTTCTGGGCATGACAGGGATGTTGCACCCATGAACCCTCAACGACATGGCTGCCTCTACAAGACTACACCAATCAACTTTCCAGCATGGAGAGAGGAAGGACTCACAAGGACTCACCCTTAGTTGAAGAGCTACAGCCAGTTGGAGGCTGCTAAGAGAAGAAGAGTCAGTTTTCTTCAAGGACAATTTCCCTGATAGGTTGCCTGTGGCCAAGCAGTCAGCCACACATCCAGTAGAGCACAAATTGGACTGAGTATGCTATACATATATAATATAGGTATGTATAGTATATTACATATATATGAAGAGGATATGAATTTGAGGTAGAGCTATGAGGAACAGAAGGAGTTGTGATGAAGTGGTGAATATGATGAAAATATATTATACTCACATATGAAATTCTAAAGAAATTATTTTTTTAAATGTCTTCTTGACTATCCTAAAATACTCCTTGGATTTACACCACTAAAATAAACATCTTTTAAAAATGTAATTTAATAAATTCCAACTCTATTCATTCTGGCTCATTCTGAAATTATTTTCTGTCACAAAGTCAAGATTCTGGCTTTACCTGAGTAGAAGACTCTGAAAAAGAATTCCTTAGGCTAACACCAGCTATAATGTGGAGACACTTTTCCATCACAGCTGATGCTGCTGAGGCAGTGATTGGAAGAAAACACTAAAAGATGGAAGAGCTCTCTCCTGCTCATGGAGTGACTGAATACTATGAAAATAGCTATATTACTGAAAACAATATACAGTTTCAAAACAATCCTCATCGAAATCCCAATGTCATTTTTACAGAACTAAAAAACGCCATAAAAATTCATATGGTAGCATAAAAGACCCTAAATAGCCAAAGCAATTCTTATCTCAAAGAACAATGTGGAAGGCACCACAATACCTGACCTCAAGTTATATTCTAAAGTCATTGTAACAAAAATAGAATGGTACTGGTACATAAACATGTAGACCATCGAAATAGAAGAGAGAACCCAGAAATAAACTCACATAGTTATAGCCACATATTTTTTGACAAAAGTATAAAACACATACATTGGTAGAAAGACAGTCTCTTCAACAAAGAGTGCTAGAAAAACTTGGTTTCCACATGTAAAAGGTGGAACAAAATCTGTTTCATCCTGCACAAAAATCAGTTCAAAATGAATCAAAGATCTGAATGTAAAACCTAAAATTTTGAAACTTTGAAAACATGGAGAGAACACTTCAAGATACAGGCATAGGCTAGGACTTTCTGCAAAGAACACCAATGGCATAGAAAATAATGTCCAAAATTAACACAAAGGATTACATGAGATTAAAAAGCTTCAGCATTGCAAAGGAAAACAATCACCAGAATAAAGAGACACAATGGGGAAAAAAATCTTTGCCAACTATATATCACACAGATCCAGGATATCATAGAAAACTAAAAATTAAACATCAAATGTGTTAGGGTTCTAGAATTGAGAATAATTCCCACAGATACCCAAAAAGATTATACAAAAAGTTTATTCAAGAATTTAAAGATTAAAAAAAAAAAAAAACCAAATGCCAGCTAGCTGGGCACAGACTACATGAGCCAAAGATGGAGTGTGGCCCCAAACAATAGCAGGGAGGGACTTTTGTTGGGGAACTCCACAGAAACCCATGCGTGCCAAGCATCTTTTTAAAATAATTGGATGTCCCCATATCCTGTGTACAGGAGAAGTCTTGATTGGTGGGGGCTGTCTTCAGGGCATTGGAATTGTGCTGACTAATACCTTTTAGAGTCAGAAGTTTTTGTTCATACTTTATAAGGCTTTTACATGTACAATACACCTGAGCTTGTCTGGGCTTGTCTAAAGAAGCTAGCCAAAATGGAGTCAGAGCATTCTGGCTCCTCATTCCTCCCTAGAGTTATGGCAAGGGTTAAATCTTTAAGTCAACCAAATTACAGAAGTGGAAAGAAGCGGTTAGACAGCACATTTAAGGCAGTGGAACCATTTCTATATTGTCATAAGGCTCGGGATCTTGATTTAAATGAGTATACTGCGAACGAACGCAGTACCATCAGTTGGACTGTCTGTAACCTTTCTAGGATGAATTTGAGCAAGGCATTAAGAATACAGGGGCCACAGGTGACTGCTA